CGGATTCAGTGCCCCCCGTGGTGACTCAGAGGGCGGAAGCCAGCGGTGAAGCTGTCCACAGCGATTCCATCGGGCGGGAGGGGCCCCAGGGCCCAGCACTCGTCCCCTGGCTCCCGGCCCCGCAGCAGTGCGCTTCCTCAGTCCGCCTGTCCCGCTCCCCGCTCTGTCTCTGGGGGATCCTCTCACCACCCCTGCGCCTCTGGCCTGCACCCCAGCTCTGTGTGCAGAAATAAATCTTGGCAACACTAAAATTAAAATAAAATATTCCACGGTGTGAGCTAGAACTTTGCTCCCCATTTCCCCAGATCTTAGAAGGTGCCAGCGTGTCTGGGGAACGCTGAAAGCGTCGTCACATCTAATCTGGTCGAACCTGGGCTGTCATTTCAGGTAACGGAGATGATTTTGCCTCTCACTTCCATCACTGGTCAAACTGACTTTATCAGTAACCACAATGGCTGCGGCTTGCCGGGCGACACTCCTCTAGGCGATGAGCTAGATTTCCTGCATCGACTGCCTCATGTATTCCCTTCGCGATAGGGACCTTTCATTCCATGCTGTAAACGACAAAACAAGATCCAGACACGTGTGTTAGGCCTCTCACAGGGTAAGCAGATTGGGGGAGCTTCGAACCGAGAGCAGGAATCTCAGATTTCTCCGAGTCACTCGTTTCTTTATAGACTTGGACGCTGTGACCACGGTGAGCCGAGGACCTCAGAGTGCGTCCAGGCGCATCGAGCCCCGGAGATCCGCTCAGAATGCGTCTCATAGTTGAACACCAAACACTGGTAACAAAAATAATCCGAGGGAATTTACTTGCATAGAAGAAGCGGAAAGGGTGACTCTAGGCTGACCCTGCAGCACATGCTACATGAATACCGACGCGCTTTGTTTTCAGTCCTACAGAGGAGAAAAAAACTTCCTTAGCATTTTAAAGCTGCTTCCAAGAAGCCATACAGGTGGTAACTGGCCCTCCATGTTTATAATCCATAACGGTGAAACAGCTTCCGTCCAAGGTGCCCGGGGAGAAGCACGGTGTTCACACGCGGGTTGAAATGGGCACTTCTGTCAATTGCGAAGTGTCTCCTGGACTGCTTGCATCTGAGACCTCGCACCCAGCTATGTCAGAATTAATTTTCCTGGGGTTTTCCCCGGGCAAAGAGAAGCCGTGGTCTCGTCGCCCTGGTTTGCAGCACTGGAGACTTTTGGGGGTGTAAGTGCGCAGCTCGGCACAGGTGGGCGACACCCCGCGGCCGCCCCAGCAGCGATGAGAGCCCCTCTTTCAACGGCGGGTGAGAGAGAAGACGCTTTAATGTGTGTTGCGCCGTGTTGAGTTTCCCCGCCGGCTGTCTGCACACAGCTCTGTGCCGTGAGCTCGGGGCCCCCCGGCCTGCGCCCCACGTGGAAACCACTGGGGTGATGCGGCTGCCGGGGCAGCCGCTTCTGGGGTGCGCTTTGAGTGATCCGGGGCCTGTGCTGGGGTTGCCAGAGCCCCGGGTGATTCTAGCAGTGTAAGGAGAGAGCTGCCGGCGCG